ATATATATATATATATATATATATATATATATATATATATATATATAAAGATCTGTTAATTAAAGAACAAAGCTACTAATTGAAGAATAAAGTTGCAAAATCCAATAAAAATGAACACCCTACAAGTTTCCCTCATCTCTAACTCATTTTTTACAACGCAGATCTCTTTACGATGATTCATTACGATGGACATCATCATTTGCCTCAAACTGCGCCTGCACGTGCTCTCTTCCTTCGTTCAGCGTGAAACGTCGTTTCACAATCGACAATACCTCGATCATCTCGCCGACACGGGAAACACGCGAGTCCCCTGTACCATGCATCGTTAAACAACAACTTTCCAAGTTTCACGAGCGGTGACGATCTCTCGATTCTGCTTGCAGGCGTTGAGATTCGCCGCAGCGATGCAGCTGACAGAAGTAATCAGCGTGCCAGCCAAGTCCAACGAGGTGATCTGCAGAAACGGCGCGAACAACGACGAGCTACGAAAGTCGAACGACCCGAGGCTGACCTACGATACGAGAAAGTCCTGCGAGAATCCTGCGTACTCGTCCAAGGACGAAGCTGTGTGAGACTGAAAAGCTGTGGAGAACAATCGCATTCTCCGACTGCATTTTTGTTGGTTTCCTCTACGCGACACGACGTAAAAGTTCTTCGAGAGATACTTTTTCTTTTTCTTTTTTTTTTTTTCTCTTTCAACTGTGAGTTGTTTGCCTCATTTGCTTGGTGGTTACTCGAACGACAAGACGTTCCTTCTTTGATGGTTTTTACTTTCTACGTATAACGTCACAGTCAAAAAATGTAACCGAACCAACAACTACAATTTTCGCCGATCATGTTTCATTGATTAAGAAACATTCTATACAATTAATATTAGTGTAAATAATTTTTCAAAGCGAAGAGTATTTTCCATTGTCTGTCATAAGCGTTGATTTGAAGGTGAATTTTCATTCTACAGTTATCTTAACATCCAATACTATCATACTACTACACTAAAATGTTCGTTAGTTAATAGTGTTTCGGATAAAGGAGACTGAATGGACAAAGACGTTTTACAGAACAATTGATTAAATACAGACATATGTTCTCTGAAGTTTTCTGCTTTCTGAACAAGCTAAAATTAGCTCAGAACATGAAAATCTCTTATACTAGCGTGGCTTACACATATTCCATTCATTTTCAATTCCCATTGAGAATCCGCGGAGATTTTTAAAATCAGAGAGTCATAATTATAATTACAACAACAAATGTGCCGATTAATATCGGTTTTTGAATTGCCGAAGAGAACTGAAGGATAATGACACGAAATTCATTCCGATTATTGCCAAAGTCTTGTAAATATAAAATATGTGAAAATTTTCAAGGGGTCTCTGTAAAGGAGAAATTTCAATCTTCAAGAGACGATGACGGATCGTGAAAGCAATTGTTTCCAATTTTTAATGATTTCAGAATCCATTAAATTTTTACAATTTTCGAGGAGAAGAATATTCTTATTTCTCCGCCTGCTGCACGACGTGGAAACATCTTTGAATAAATCGAACTCAGTGTTGTTAAAACAGAGAATTCACGCTTAAAAATGAGGTCAACTGGATTGTTGTACGACTTCTTTTCCACCGAGTTATAACAGTTTAAAGTACCGACAATTCGACTGTGTCCATCATTGTATGCTCATTTTTCGCGTATTTCAATATCAACAGCAATAATTATTAATAGTAATCTGTGCAAAAGAACTGTGGTTGGTGATTTCAGCTGTGCTCTTCACTCTATCTAATAGTAACAATAAACATGTGCGTACGTACGTTCGCATCAGAAGCGAATTGAAACGAAGTTCCATTCGGGCAAACAGATTTTGCCAGATAGAATTATTTGTTTAGTCCGTCAACAGGATTATGTATTTGTTTCCGTTGCGTGACGCAACGTTTTCGTTCGCGGCACGTGCATGCCGCCCGCGTTTCGTAAATAAATCTATTTATTTAGTGGCAGTGATAAATTGCAAAATGCGCTGCAGTCACCCGAGGAATTCATTTTCCAAACAATCGCGGTGACAAATCACCGTATCAAGAAAACCACTTTAATTGAAACACGCAGCTGCTCATGAAAGTACTCGAACGCTGACAATACCTTTGGAAAATAAATTTTGAAATTTCGTTAACACGATAGTAAGATTCAACCATCACGATTATATCTTATATATTACAAGTACACCTATATTTCGCAAAGATCACAGAAACATAAATATATCAATATTCAATAGACTCATATTGCACATTAATCTATTATTAAATATATTTATATTCAATTGGATCATTTTTAACACTCATATGTTTAAACTGACTACTTATGTTTTATAAAAAAAATTTTTACTAAATACAGTTACTTCTGTATACTTTTATATTTCTGCCTATTTATTATGCTCCCGTATATTTTTCAAATTGGTTTTAAATTTTAATATAATCATAATAATGAAATCTTCGAAATACTTTATACAACACACATATTATATTTCTTTTTTCACAAAATTTCTTCGATCGTGTTCGAATACTTTTAAAATACATGCGACAATAAAGAAGATCTCTTTAAAGTAAAAGGAATATACCCAATTGTTCGACAGCAGCAGTGATTATGGTGAATATACGATTATACAATTCAACGACCATCAGCCACATGTACACAATGAATGTGACGGTATATTCCATCACTCGGAATTAATTATATATTCCGTTATCACGAGAAACATTATGAATGTCACAATCTACCGCTTCATCATTTAGAATCAATTATACCTATATAATTATTCTAGATACAACCTAGCTCCAACACAGGCAAGAAAATATTCCTTCGATTAAGAGATCAAACGTGAAGCGATTTCCCGCGGATCTTTCTTTTGGAAATCTACGATCAATCTCGCAGTGGTTTATTTCGCGAGACACTGTGACATTTTATCCTCGCAAGCAAGATGCTTTCCACGTAGATTGGTTAGGAGGTTCACGAGTTGAATTACGAGATAGAAACCGTGGAATGGTTATGTTTCCACGGTTACTTTGTTTCACTGCGGCTCGTAAATCGCGGTTATAAAGAATTATGCGGAATATTAGTTGAAAAATACGGGCCGCGTTTAATATGATGTAACGAGGGCCTCGTTATTGCATCGTTCCCTTCTTACTGCTCGAACAAATCGGATGAATGAAACGACGAACGATTGTTATTAATAAAATTCTACTTTGGTTAAGAACGACTCCGATGGATTCTAATTTTTTCCTCCCCGTATATCACGGTTCGCGTAACGAGATTTGACTATTGTAATTACATTGGTATACTTTCGAACAAAATACTTGTTGGGGATCATAAATTTAATAAACGAGTCTCAACATGTGGCAGAATACTAATTTTCATAGTCAGTGAAATTTTGAACTAAAAAATTGCGCACAGTGCCTATAAAAGAAATACAAAATATACGAAATAATACTCCCGTCAATATTTAATAAGTAAAACAATTTTTTATCGCCATTCTCTCCTTTCAATCATAAATTCATCTCAAAAATATACATTTCCATAGAGATTGTATCCTTACGAAATTATATTTTCGATCATATCCTTATAAAATCTCGACAAACTTGCACGGCAAACCTTCAAATACGTTTGTGACCAAGTAACTAAATGATATATAAAATATATTGCTTTTCATAACATTTAATTGCCAAAGCAATCTTCTCCAAAGTAAGCTTACTCGTTTCTATTATATTCTCGAAATTGTTAATAAAATCACAAGTTTCGATGTAATATACACGGCATGTATATTCATGAAGAAAATGTTTTGTAACAAGTACTGTGTATTCAAATACCTTTCGTAAGGTGGTTGTAAATCGATCCTCGATACCAGGCGGGCCGTGAATGCGAAACGAACGCGAGCACGATGAATTAAGTGGTAACCACGAGCACTGCCGTTTCGAAACGACCTCCGCCAGTGCCGTTTGTTCGTTTCAATTTCTCAGCAACACCTGGAATAATGGTCGCTAGAGGATCGTTTGTAGCGCAGTAGAAACGACCGGGTGAGAAATGAGGGACGGAGAAGGAGAGGAGAAGCCAAGGGCGTGCAACGGAGGATGATGAGGAACGAATGCCGGCGAAGCAATTCATCGATGCTTTCGCGCGTAATAGATGGCGTCCATTAATTAGGAAAAAATATAAAGTGACGTTGTAATTCATTAGCGGAGTCTTTACCCGCGATTTATTCTCGTCGCGAACCATCACGCCATGGTTTTCTTCCTTCCTTTTCTTATCTTTCACTTATTCTCTCCGCGGTTAATTAATCGATCCGGTAAGCGATCCAGGTTGAAAGAAACGCGGGAAAGAACGAGAAGAACGCCAGAAAAAGAGGAGGGAGGGCGGGGGAGAACTGGCTGGAAATACAGTATTCGGTTAAAATGAGACTTTTTCTTTGTCAAGG